AGAGACCTCGACTCAATCTGATCGCATGTGTAAGCACTTAACCCAGAGCCAGGCATAGAAATTTTTAGTAAATAACACATATCGTCCTCATCATTATTATTATCATTGTCGTTGTCATGAAATAGAAATTTGGTCATCTTATGCATTGTCACTGGCTCCCAGCTGCCTGCTTAATCAAATCCCAACTTCTTAGCATTCACTCCCTGGCTCTCACCTACTTTTGCAGTCTTTTCTCCTATATGCTTTCTTTGATATTCCCTTAATTCTATTTTTTCTTTTAATATTTTAAAGAATATTTTCAGTTTCTTTATTTTTAAGTAATCTCTATGCCCAACATGGGGCTTGAACTCATGACTCCGAGATCAAGAGTCATGTGCTCTTCCAACTGAGCCAGCCAGACACCCGATGTTTCCTTAATTCTTCGGTCATACACCCTTAATGTTCCAATCCTTCTGCCATGGTTCTCACTGTTCCTTACAACTGTCAGGGTTTAATTGTTCCAGGCCTTTATGGGTACTTTTCGCTCTGTCTGGAATACCTGTCTCCCATCCTCAAATACCTCAGAGTCCAACTTTAGAGGACCTTCTCTGTGATGCCCTCTCCAAATTCTTGCCATTCATTCAAGAAGTATATATTGAATGCCTGCTGTGCGTCAGGCACTAGCCCTAGAGGCCGGGGCTTTAGCAGTGAACAAAACTTCATATAAAGGGATAAAGATTTCTATCTTCATGGAGCTTACATTGCTATGCAGTTTATCCAAACAGTTCAGTTTAAACTTTTGTTATCTGCCTACAATGTGCTCAACACCATGCTAAGCACTGGGGGTACAAACCTGAGTAAGCCTTAACCCCTAGCCTCACAGCTATAGTCTGGAGAGAGAAGGGCTCTAAACAGATCATTCCGGGGTGCCTGGGTGGCTCAGTCAGTTAAGCGACTGCCTTCGGCTCGGGTCATGATCTCAAGGTCCTGGGATCGAGCCTCATGTCGGGCTCCCTGCTCAGCGGGGAGCCTGCTTCTCCCTCTGCCTCTCCCCCTGCTCATGCTCTCTCTCTCTCTCAGATAAGTAAAATCTCTTTTTTTTTAAAGATTGTATTTATTTATTTGAGAGAGAGAGAATGAGAGAGAGAGCATGAGAGGGGGGAGGGCCAGAGGGAGAAGCAGACTCCCTGCTGAGCAAGGGAGCCTGATGCGGGGCTTGATCCCGGGACTCCAGGATCATGACCTGAGTGGAAGGCAGTCGCTTAACCAACTGAGCCACCCAGGTGCCCTAGATAAGTAAAATCTTAAAAACAAAAAACAAAAAACACAAAACTGATCATTCCACGCATTGTGGCAAGGAGCCTAAAAATGAAGCTCAGGGTTTTGTGAAAGCAGTGAACAGGGGCGCCCAGCCCCAGCATGGGGAGGGTGAAGGAGGTCAGAAAAAGCTATGCTGGAGAAAGTGATAGAACTTCCTTGAGGGAAGACTGAGTCTTACAGTTTGAAGATGGAATTGACAGGATGAGCAAGGCATGGTATGGGGAGATCTGTAGGTAATCTGGGGCTGCTGGAGTTTGAAATTTTAAGGCATGGAGTGACAGGAACAAGTTCTAAAGGAGGAGGCTGGGGCCTTGTCCTGGAGGGCCTTATGAGCTGACACCAACGTGGGCGTGCATCGCATTCATTTGTGGAAATGATTGAAAACCAATATAGCGGATGCCCAGGGCCCATCCCAAAGCCCTGAATCAGAATCCTTGCTGATGTTTATTTTTAACAGCTTAAAAGGTTTCTGATACACTCAGGGGTTTGAGTGCTTTTGCCATGGGGAGCTATTAAAGGTTTGCAAGTAGAGGCATGACAATCAAATTTGTGCTTTGGAAATCTCACAGTCACTCTGACCAAGTGCAGGATGGATTGGAGAGAGAGACTGGAGGCAGAGGTGAGCCGAGAGAGCTTTCTAGATGAGAGATGAAGAGAATGTGATGTCTTTGTCAGTGGAGATGTGTAGGATAGCCATCACCTGAGATCATTCCCTACAAGAGCCCTGTTCTGTCCTCCTCATTACCCACCCAGCAAGGGCCGGGCCCAGAGAAAGTGCTTCATGAATACTGAATCAAATATGGCCGAAGGGAGTCAAGGCCCCCAAGACTCTTTTCTCCAAACAGTCTTTCTCTTTATTCCTTTGTGTAATGGCTTTCCTTCCAACTTTAAGAAAACCTTCTGTCTGCATGTCTTACTGGTGCAAATTCTAAGATTAATGTGTATTGGAATACAGCCCCCACAGTGGCTGTGGAAAGACTCTTTAAAGGTTTGATCCTATCAAGTAGAATTCGGTAGACTTTCAAAATGTTTTATTTAGCTAGTTTCTTCTTCTTCTTCAAGTGTGCATATATAATGACTACTTTGGGAAAGCCTCAGAAGAAATGTGTACTGGAGAGCAGTCCCAGGATCAGGCTGTGCATTCTTTACCTTAGAGAATTGCAATTAGGGCCAGGACAAGGGGAAAAATGGGCTTCTCTGCTTGGCTTGGGCTGCCTCATCAAGATCCTGCATCACCTGACCTAATGATAAAAGGTTATGAAGCTTAGAAAGAAACTAGGACATTTCTAGTACTGGTTTAGTATTTTCTCTGACCTGAGGCAAAAGTAGACAGAGACACCAAAGTGACCATTCTCTCCCTTTTTGGCCCATCTCTGTTTTTCTACCCACAAACTGTAGTACAAGCAATTGGGTTGTAGAAAAAAATATTTCCATTTTTCCAGATCCTTTAAGTTGCTTTTCAATTGTGTGGTTCAGTGGCCCTTAGAAGAGAAATTTCCCCACCTCTTTTTATACTTAATGATGTTTGTTTACAGGAAGGAAGGGAGGGAGGGAGAGAGGGGGACAGAAAGGCAGGCTAGACCAGAGGCTCTGAAACCCTGGTTGCATATTAGAATCACCTGGGGAGATTTTAAAAATCTTGATACTGAGGCTGTATCCCAGATCAATCACATCTGGGGGATGTGACCCAGGCAACAGTAGCTGTTAAATCTTCCTAGATGATTCCAGGGTACAGGCAATGTTGAGGACTACCACACTAGTCAAATAAGCCCCATGTGACTATGTTTTTCAAGCCCCAGATCAGAACACGAATGCTAGCTCCTCTGACAGGCACCCTAATGTATCTTACCTTTTTCTCTCAGGTCAATCCCGTTAGTTGGGTGGGGGATAGAATTCCTTTTCACTTAGGAGGAACAGAGATGGGTAGCTTGCTCTATATCCTATAGCTAAGTGTCTGCCTGACTCCAAAGTCAGCTGACTTAGCTCAGCTGCCTATCAGAACAGTGTGAGAGTTGATGGAGCTTTGTGTTTCGGGTAGGAGACAATTTGAGTATTGTAAGTTGAGCATCAAAAAGTTTGAGAATTCATAGACATTTCAGTAGTGTATGGGGATAATATGCAGCAAATTGAAATCAGGAATGTCTTAGATTCAGAGACATGTGTTAGCTACACATTGTCATCTCCTGAACCTTTGAAGTTGTTGGATTCAGAAAAGGAAGCTTAAAATGGGAATAGGTATTATCATCCCCATTTTTCAGCTGAGAAAATGGAGGTTTGGCTAGATTGTCACTTGCCCAGGATCAGACAGCTAGTAACCAACAGAGCAGGTTTATGTCACTCCCAGAGCCCATGCATGGTCTTAATCACTATACCACACTGACTCCTGACAAGGAGCTTTGAAGGGTGGGAGGGAGGTGGCATGATGGTATATTGGATAGCTTGGAAACTGGCAAAGAAAAAGGGACCAAACCCTGCCTAAAGCTTTCTGTGATTAACATGTTTTGCTAGATGATTGAATTGTCTTGAGTTACCCCCATTAGATTATAGGATCTGGAAAAGAAGACTCCTATTAGAGTTTTCTTTGAGTTATTGAACCATAATATCATCTGAGAATTGTTTTTATAACATGAACATCGATGAAATCCTATGTTAAAGAAAAATTTGCCCAGAATTGTATCACCCTACATATAAAGGTATCTTCTTTAGTTCATGCTCTGTATCTAGTGCATGGGTTTAAATGTATACAGTGTTCACACTGGTGAGTAACAATCTGGCTTACCTAACCTTACCTATTATAAAGAGTGCTCCATGCTGCTGTATAGTCTTTAAATTTGTCATTTTTGATGACTGTCTTATTTCATTGAGCACTTAGTCCATCATTTAGCTAAGTCACCTATTGGGGGGCATTTGGCTTGTAATTTTTCAATATTATAAATCACAGTATTATGAACACCTTTTTTGCATGCAATTTTTTTTCTTCTATGGGGTCATTTCATTTTTTTTAAGATTTTATTTATTTGAGAGAGAGAGAGCACAAGCCGGGGAGGGGAAGGCAGAGGGAAAGGGAGAAGCAGGCTCCCCACTGAGCAGGGAGCCCTATGCGGGACTCAATCCCAGGACCCTGAGATCATGACCTGAGCCGAAGGCAGCTGCTTAACCCACTGAGCCACCTAGGTGCCCCTACGGGTTCATTTCTTTAGAATAAATCCCCAGAAATGGGATATTTCTCAAGTTTAATAAGACAAAACTTTGATTTATAAAACTAATTTATGTCTTGAATATGCAAGTAAATAATAGATTATTGCCACTTTTGTTACATCAAGTGATAATGGTTACATTTTCTAAATTGAAGCAAGTTATACGAAGTTTATTATATTAGAAACTAGCCTTGGACCTCTTTGTATCCTTTTTGAAATAGAGAACTTAAGCTACTCATTTTTTTTTTTTTTTTTTGCTTTGGTTAGAGACCTGCAGCGTTCAATCAAATGGATTCTCACACCCTGTTGCAGGTGGCTGCATCCAGCCCCACTGCTCATCTTTGCTCAGCAAGACAGCCTGATTTTTTGTTTGATAATGTGGGAGTCCTGAGATTTAGAGAATCAGTAGTCCACCTCAAAACTGACATGCTTTGCATTTTTGAGAAAGCTACTTTGATTTGCTATAGTGTCTGGTTAACAAGGATCTTTTTCATTTTGTTTCAGGGACAACTGGATTTTTTTCCTGTTTCTGGTTTATTACTAAAATCTACAGTGTGGTAAAAGTGGATTAAAGAATGTCCCCCAAAGGCTTCCAGGCATGTCACCGCTGCTTTTGAATATATACATCTATATCTGTATGAACATCTATGGAGATATATGTGTATGCTTCCTACTACACATTTTAAATATATATCACTTAAAAATCTCATTGGCCTCAGTTTGTATGACACAAAATACTGATTATGTGGAAAAAAACAGGTTGGTTTGGAAACAGGTTTATTCTAAGTCAGACTGTCCTGAAAAGATACCATAAAAAGGTTTAATTGAAAGCAATTAGAGCAAGGGAGGCACATTTCTTTACGAAATGAAAGCTGAGCACACGGGCTTTTCAGATGAAATGTGTTTTTTTTTTTTCCTTTTTCTTTATTTTGTTTACAGCATCAGAACTATTGTCAAATAAATCTTAGGTAAAATGTGAATTTTTCTATCTTACGTGGATTGTACAGACTGTATTCCACCCTTGTATTTGGATGACCATTTTATTTTATGTATTTATTTATTTTTGAGAGACTTATTTATTTTAGAGCAGGGAAGAAGGAAAGGGGGAGGGAATCTTACTTAAGTAGACTCTGCACTGAGCATGGAGCCCGACACAGGGCTCCATCCCATGATCCTGAGATTATGACCTGAGCCGAAACCAAGGATTGGTGCTTAACTGACTGTGCCACCCAGGGGCCCCTATTTTATTTACTTTTTAAAGGAAGCTCTACGTCCAACATGGGGCTCAAACTGACAACCCTGAGATCAAGAGTCACTTGCTTTATTGATGGAGCCAAGCAGGTGCCCCTGGATGACCATTTTAACAACGCACATCATTTTTCTTTTAAGCTTTTATTTGAGAGAGCGAGAGAGAGCACGAATGGGGGTAGGGGGGGAGAGGGAGAAGCAGACTCCCCACTGAGCAGGGAGCCTGATGCAGAGCTCCATCCCAGGGCCCTGAGATTATGACCTGAGCCCAAGGCAGACGCTTAACCGGCTGAGCCACCCAGGCATCCCTGCACATTGGTTTAGTATATAGAGTTTATGAAATACCGGGCACTGCTGTCTTATTCCTTAATTAAATCTGCACATTTCTGGTTATTGGTTGTCTTTTTCTATTTGCTGTCCTTTGGAGGCTGAGAATGTTCAAGTTTGACTTAGCTCTTCGGAACCAGTTTTCTGGGATTTATTTGCTTTGACTAAACAATAGTCAGGTGTCATAACTCCCCAAATGTCAGGAATTCTTATGACAAATATTCTCTGAGCTTGCAATTTTGGGAAGGCAGTCATGAAAATCATATATTTTCTGTGATACATTTTTATTGATCAACATTGGCCTTCTTGAAAATGTTTGAAAACTGTATATGCACAAGCTTCAATTCATGAACATTCTCAAAGCCTTCCTTAAGCTGAGGAGTACTTGTTTGTGTGTGGGGGGATCAAAGAAGCCCTGTTGCTCTTGAAGGGGAGATTGGGATGGGGAGGGCTGGGGTCAGAGAGTTGCATTCTGAAGGAGAGTGGTGGGAGGAAATGGAAGTTAGTAGTTGCCTCAAGGAGGAAGGTAATTACCTAGCCCGTAGGATGCCTTTGTCTATATTGAAGGATCAGGGCTCAGACCCCAGGCAAATTGGCCTGGGGCCTGGAGCAGACTGGTGAGAGAGGGAGTGGCTATAGAAGGTCAAAGGTGTGTCTTGAATAGAATTTTCAGATCCTCTCCACCTTCTCCCACTCAGTCTCAAAATCAGGCTGAGCCCTAGGCCCTGCCTGAGAGGAGTAACTGTTGTTCTGAGATTCATTGGAACCAATTCCATTCTCCTCTAAATACTTTGAACTAAGCAGTGTTATAGTGAGCTTCGGGGGACTCTTCCCACCGGATTGGCTGCCTGGGAGTTTTTATCTAAGCTTACAAGCCCTCCTATTTGCATTGATGGTAGTAGTTTGCTCGAAAGGCAAATTTGTTAAAAGAATGAGCTCTTGGGGCGCCTGGGTGGCTCAGTCGTTAAGCGTCTGCCTTCGGCTCAGGTCGTGATCCCAGTGTCCTGGGATCGAGCCCTGCATCGGGCTCCCTGGTTGGCGGGAAACCTGCTTCTCCCTCTCCCACCCCTGCTGCTTGTGTTCCTTCTCTCGCTGTGTCTCTCTCTGTCAAATAAATAAATAAAATCTTTAAAAAAAAAAAAAAAGAATGAGCTCTTGCCATTTGTGACACATGGCTGGACCTTGAGGGTATTATGCTGAGTGAAATAGGCAGAGAAAGACTCGTACCATATGATTTCACTCATATGTAGAATCTAAAAAAAAATGAACAAATGGAAACGGACTCATAGGTACAGAGAACAAACTGGTGGTTGTCAGTGGGGAGGGGGGAGGGGGATGGGCGAAATAGGTGAAGGGATTAAGAAGTACAAACTGCCAGTTATAAAATAAATAAGTGATGGAGATGGAAAGTACAGCATAGAGAATACAGTCTATCATGTTGTAATAATGTTGTATGGTGACTGATGGTGACCATAGCCATTGTGGGGAGCAGCGAGTAACCTACAGAATTGTTGAATTACTGTGCTGTCCACCTGAAACTCATATAACATTGTAGGTCACCCATACTTCAATAATAAGTATTAGAAAGAAATAGAAGGGCAAATTTATTTTTGCAGCTGTGTGCAGGTCTCATGGCAGCCATCTTTGAACATCTTGAAATACAATGTGTACATCAGTGTTTAGCTTGATTTTGGAGTGAAAAATGGAGAAGAGCACTTTACTTTGATTGAAACGGAGATTAATAGCTCCCTGAGCCTCTGAGCATGGGCCATGAATGCCACTCGGGAAGCACGAGGTGTGCAATTCCTTGAACTACTGCTGATGAGATGACAGAAGAGCCACTAGCAGGTCAAGCACGTCAGCTCCGGAGGAACTAGGGGGCTCTTATGTTGTAGACATATTTGACTGTCTTGTCTGTGTCCTGTGTGTGCATATGTCATGGCTGGTGTTCAAGGTATAATTTTCTCACCCCGGGGCTCGAGGGAACGTGCGCCTGCCCTCCTGTTCCGGAAACCCTGGTGAACTGGGGCTGAGCTGAGGTGGCTGGGACTGGGTTGTGCCAAGGGAGGTGTCCTGGTCATGGGTAGCGGGGTGGTAGGGGCAGGAGCCCAGTGGGGGTTACCTGGGTGCTGGGCAGTATTGTTTCCTAAAATGGAAGGCTACTCCTTCCCCTCCCCCTGGTCAGACCTCATTGCCTTGGGAACCCCACAAACCACCTGGCCCTTTTCCTACTCTGCCCACCCCACTGTCACTTTGAAATCCTTTTCATTCATAGAGGACTGAGGCACATGCCCCTCTTCCAGCAAGCCCATCAGGATGGCTCCCCCATCCTGTTGCATATTTCTTGTATTGGGGCAGCACAGTATGAAATCTTGGAGCCCCTATGTTCCATCCTACCATGTCATACAGTTAGTTTATCCTGTCTCCTTCCCTTCCAGCAAGACAGAATGCACGGGGACCTAGTTGTGTGTCTCCCTCGCTGTTTTCCCACTGAGCCCAGCATAATAACCAGATACGCACATTAAAATTAGACTTTATTTAGCATATTTAAGAAGAATACCAAGGACAGATTAACAGCACCTATTTAAGAAACACAAACATTACTTAATAATATTTAGTTAAGCCACAAACATCAATCTCTCTGCCTTCCCCAAGCAGGAGTCCATTATTCCTGTCCGGCAAAAAAATGCATTGTAACCATTTTAGAAAGGATCCAATTAAAACCAACCAATATATGAAACCTTGTCCTTGGGCAGAGTCTCTGAGACTACTGGCCCGTGTAACAGTATTGATTTATGAATTTGACTGGGGTGTGAAGGGGTTTCTCTTCTTGCTGGGGGCAGGAGGATAAAGCCCACCCCTTTTGTGCACCTGAAGGTAAGTTGTGCCAAGGGGAACCTGGCCCCAGGATTGTAATGTGGCAATCCTTTGAAAAGGCACTTTTAAATTACAAATGTTTTTTTAAAGGAAAAGGAAAATTTTAAATTCAAAATTGAACATATTAAAGAGAACTGTTTTTGACTGAATGCATCTTTCTATGGTTTTCAGTCTCAAAGCACATAAAATTTGATTTTTAAAGGCAGTTTTAGAAATTACTCAATGAGGGTATACATATATACATCGTCTTCTGTTTTCATATTTTTGTTTTAAAATATAACAAACTCATAGTTCTGTTTTTCGTCTGATGCAAATGTTGTTGATACATGACTGTAATATTCTCAAACACCTTAGCTGCGAACCCCGGAGGAGTCCCACTACGTTATTTACCCATCCGTGCTCTAGCTCATCTCTCAGGCAACCAATCAAAGGAAAAACCCAGAGCAGTCTTTTTCTGGGTTTGGGTGCTGCTCTAGCCATAGAGGGATGGGCACAATATAGATCTGCTAAATGTGTGTCCTGTCAGTTCGCGGTCAGGTACTGGTTGGGTCTTGAGAGTACAGTATTTTTTTTTATCCTGCCAACAGGACTCCAATAGCCTCTCCTGTGGTCTGTGCTCTTTGAAGGGGAAAGGATTGTCTTTTTTGATTTTGCATTCTGTACATTCACCCTAATGGACAACAGGCATACCAGTGCCAAGCATGTTGTGGAGAACGGCCAGGGAGGACTTCAGCCAAGATGATTAATTCACACTAATGATCAATTGTACTAGAATAAGTTCTCCCCTGTCAGAGACTACCAGGGATTTAAGGAACGAAAGGCACCTGTTACCTGCTACCCCACTGTATAAGAGCCGTCTTATACAGCCTGTAGTATACACTTTAAAAATGAAATTTTAAAAAACGAATGTACTATGTTCTACTTCAGAAACTGACCAAGGTGTGGGTCACACATAAAATTCTGCATGCATTTTATTAACTTTACATGTACGAACTATCCATTGTTGAGGATGACACTATCTATGAACACATACAATCTAATATCTAGCACCTTATCTCCAAGAACACTGGTATTTTATATACAGTTACAGCTTAGATTTAGGAGAACTACCACAGAAGGG